GCTGAAGTGTGTGTTCAGTGTGTGTGATGTGTGTCGTGACACAGTTAGCGGTCTAAAGCACAGAACCTATTTATACACCAACCACAGCATCCACTGCCCGAGGCCGTCGCTGAGGAGATCGCTGCGTTTATGAATGCGTGTGTTTGCTAATGCTAGCATCGTTTATTCATTAGCGAGGGGTAAAGCCATGTTTCCGGATGTGAATGTTTGTTTTGGGCAGCATTGTTTTCCTTATGGAAGCATAAATGCCAGGAAATCATTTTTCAAACTACATTAGCTGCTGGATTCCTGTCCTGTTGTAATTCCAGCTGTTTGCCGCTGAGATAAAACTTGGTTAATTTAGCAAACGTATGAACAGATTAGAGAAGCAGGGATTAGCGCTGCGTTGTGAATTAAATGCAGTGCATTTGCATTTAAATAAATGTCGGGCCTGGTCTTGTTGCTCATTGTTTGGAGGATTAGCATCCAGAAGGGTTTTTTACTTATTAATGTCCAAAAGTTTGTGGACACCTGCTCGCCCGGCATTTTTTTCTGAAATGAGGGGTGTTAATAGGGAGTTTGTCCTCCTTTGCTGCAGTATCTTTTCTTCTGGTAAGGCTTTACACTAGTTGTGGGAACATTGCTGTGAGAGTTTTATGGAGTTAATTTTGTGCCAAATGTTTCAAATAAAACTAGAAAGGGAAAGTTTGTGAACGAACTTTAAGTTGGCTTGAAAACGCGAGGTAATTACGTTAAAACGTTAAAATAGTGGAAGACTGTTGGTGGTTGATCAAAATTTTGCTAAAACGTTGCTAAGCGGATGCTGCAGTATCCAAGGTGAATGGTAATGTGTTGCTAGGTGCTAGCGTAAATGAAGTTCCACCTTAAATTCTGTGCCACCTTAAGCTTAGTGCTATCGTAAAATGGAGTTCAACCTTAAATTCTCTGCCACCTTAAGTGAAGTTCCACCTTAAATTCTGTGCCACCTTAATTAAAGTTACACGTTAAATTCTGTGCCACCTTAAATTTAGTGCAGTCTAAAATGGAGTTCCAGCTTAAATTCTGTGCCACCATAAATTTAGTGCTATGATAATTGCAGTTCCACCTTAATTAAAGTTACACGTTAAATTCTGTGCCACCTTAAATTTAGTGCTACCTTAAACAGAGTTCCACCTTAAATTCTATGCCACCTTAAATTTAGTGCTACGTTAATTGCAGTTCCGACCTTAAATTCAGTGCCACCTTAAATGAAGTCCCACCTTAAATTCTGTGCCACCTTAATTTTAGTGCTACCTTAAAGAGGGTTCCACCTTAAAGTCTGTGCCATCTTAAATTTAGTGCAGTGTTAACTGAAGTTCCACCTTAAATTCTGTGCCACCTTAATTTTGATGCTACCTCAAAGAGAGTTCCACCTTAAATTAAGTGCTACCTTAAATGCAGTACCACCTTAATTTCAGTTCCACCTTAAAAGCAGCTCCACCTTAAATTCATTCTTTGTGCTGATACTGTTGTGCATTAGGCTGTGAGCGTGTGAGTCTGTGTGTACTGTGTGTGTGGGAAAAGTCCATTGTGACATCACTTGTGGCAGTTAATTTGAACGTCCCGAACATTCCGCCCATTCATTTCCTATGGGGAAAAAAAATATCGTCTTTGAACGATAATTTTACGAAAACTACGTCGGATCGCCTAGAAAAGCACAAGCAACCTAATCAGGTATAGGTCGCGGTTTTAGCTCGAAAACTGTGTGGACGAGAAACTTTTTATATTTTGAGTGTAGAATAATAATAATAAAGAAGATTACGAAGAACAGTAAGTTGGCCTTTTCAAACCAACTTAATAATAAAATCCAATAATGAATAAAAATAAATAAAATAAAAATAATAACGGCCTCTTCTAAGACCCGCCCTGTTAAAAAGTGCCAAAAGCCAGAAGCAAATTGACCATAAACCAGAAATATGTCAGCAAAATCAGCAAATAGAAAAAAATTTAAGCAAAAACTCTCAAAATGAGTCATACGTTTATATCAGAATGAGGGAAAATGAGTAGAAATCTTTTTGAACTTGTTATTTGTATTTGCAACATATTTTGGACAATATTGATGATCAATATTTTAGCATTTTTTTTTAACTTAGCATTTCGAACGAACTCCTTAGTATTTGATTGCATCCAGCCACAAGAGCATCAGTGAGGTCAGGAACCGATGTTGGCTGAGTAATTCTGGATGTCCAGCTCATCCCACATGGGACTAATTTTGCTCTATGTAGTGAAGTATGTAGTTGGTCAGTGTCTACAGGTACACATAATGTGCACGTTACGCTCAGAAAAGCATTTTGTATTATATTGTGATGTAATTTATCATAATAACACTGTATACTGTCATATTGTCCAGCCCTGCTGCCTGTATACTTCAGTGCTGGTGGTGCTATCAAAATATGATATGGAACTGTCTTCTGCAAGAATTAGCAATGCTGGCCCTGGAACTCTTAATACATGGATTCACGGAATTTCTAAAGTCAGGACCGCTGTGCTTGCTTAACTATATGCTGTGCTTAAGTTGTGAATGATGTAATTCTCATGTGTCCTGTGTTGTAGCGTGTCCCATGTGTGTGTGGGTCGGGGCTGGAATGGGGGGGGGGTTTGTTCTTTAAATGGAAAAAAAAAATGAATCACAAAAAAAAATGTTTTATTATAATTTTTTCCCCCTTTGCTTTGTAAAGCATCCTTGGGTTTGTGAAAGGCGCTATATAAACGGAACTTATTATTATTATTATTATTATTATTACTGTCAAATTCACTTTAAAAAGAAATAAGTTTAAAGAGTAATGAAGTATCATTTGGGTTAGTGTTTACTTCCCAATAAAAAGTATCTTAATGATGTTTTTGTATTTATTTGGTTTATTACTGTCTCAGCTAGTGCCTTGAGTTTAAACAGATCATAACATAGTACTTGTGAATTTCTAGGTGAATTTCAATTAATTGGTTAATTAATTAATTAATTAAATTATTTAATTATTTACTTACTCAGGAACCACAGTTTAAACTAACAAGAATGATCCATAGACACAGTCATTATGGGTCATAGTGATGATGTCATCCTCAGGCGTATGAAGCACTAGCTGTACTGCTACAGCTTCCAGATATGGCTCTAAAAGCATGAATCAGGGGCACTGTGTGTGTGTGTGTGTGTGTATGTGTGTGTGTGTGTGTGTGTGTGTGTGTGTGTGTCAGAATGATGTAATGCAGATTTCAGTGTTGATCATCCAGTCAGAGTGAAAAGTGCAGCTGATTTACAGTAAAATACAAGAGAACAATAAAGAACAGTACAACCTGCTGTGTGTGTGTGTGTGTGTGTGTATGTGTGTGTGTGTGTGTGTGTGTGTATGTGTGTGTGTGTGTGTGTGTGTGTCAGAATGATGTAATGCAGATTTCAGTGTTGATCATCCAGTCAGAGTGAAAAGTGCAGCTGATTTACAGTAAAATACAAGAGAACAATAAAGAACAGTACAACCTGCTGTGTGTGTGTGTGTGTGTGTGTATGTGTGTGTATGTGTGTGTGTGTTCAGGAAGTAGTGTTAGCCCTGGAGTTCCCTCCTTCACCTGCATAAACATTACTCACTCTGCTTCAGCATGCACAGTTGTGAGTGAGCCTCCTTGTGGCCGTGAGTAGAACTGCAGGGAATGGCAGTTAAAGGGGAATTCCACTGATTTATCAACATTTTTACATAACTAAATTGTTCACATGTAAACAAAGTTACAGCAGCTTGATGTGAAACGCCCAATTCTAGAGAAACGTACCGAGTCGGAATTGCTCACAGCGGTGGTGATAGGAACCAGATGTCCACCTCTGAAAACTCCCTCACAGAAAGTTACTACATGACATGGTTATGAATACATTTCTTGTTCTCTGAGTTGTTGCTTTATGATAGTTTTGAGAAGCTTTTGGCATAAAATATATATTTTTTTAGTACATTCATGGTGGAGGGGTACATGAAGGGCACTGTGAGGCAAAATAACCCCCAAAAGAAAACGGATTTTTTCACATTAATCGCTATTTTCCCATCATCAATATTCCATATAAAGCTCAGAAGACTCGTGTAGGCTCACTGGTGGTTTTGGACAGTAAATAAAATGTCTATATTTGTGTTGTAGTCATGGCGACCCCTGGTTCCTATCACCACCACTGTAAAGAAATCTTTGTCGTTAGTGTGTGTTGTGCTGGTCTGAGTGGATCAGACACAGCAGTGCTGCTGGGGTTATTAAACACTGTGTCCACTCACTGTCCACTCTGTTAGACACTCCTACCTTGTCAGTCCACCATGTAGATGTAAAGTCAGAGACAATAGCTCATCTGCTGCTGCACAGTTTGTGTTGGTCATCCTCTAGTCCTTCATCAGTGGTCACAGGACGCTGCCCACAGGACGCTGTTGGCTGGATATTTTGGTTGGTGGACTATTCTCAGTCCAGCAGCGACACTGAGGTGTTTAAAAACTCCAGCAGCACTGCTGTGTCTGATCCACTCAGACCAGCACAACACACACTAACACACCACCACCATGTCAGTGTTACTGCAGTGCTGAGAATGATCCACCACCCAAATAGTACCTGCTCTGTGAGGGTCCATGGGGGTCCTGACCACTGAAGAACAGGGTAAAAGGGGGCTAACAAAGTATCAGAGAAACAGATGGACTACAGTCTGTAACTGTAGAACTACAAAGTGCACCTATATAGTAAGTGGAGCTGATAAAATGGACAATGAGCGTAGAAACAAGGAGGTGGTCATGAAGTACAGACTAAAGAATCTATTATTAGGCTGCTTAAAAGTGGATGTTTGTACATTAAACCGCACCTCTGGCAAATAATTCATAACTAAAAAAAGTCCATGAAGTGAATGAGTACCTGCCTTGCAAGGTCTGCTGCCTTGTGACTGAGCTGTTGAGGCTTATAAGCACATAATTCTCATATGACGTGTCCGGAAGTAAACGGTCTCTTGTTTAACCGTCTCTCTCTCTCTTTCCTTTCAGACCTGTCAAAGAACCGCCTGACTGACGTTCCACCTGAAGTGGTCCATTTAGTCTCCCTTGAAACGCTGAACCTTTATCACAACTGCATCAGAAGCATTCCTGACAGCATCATCGGCCTGCAGTCTCTAACATCACTGAACATCAGGTACGCGTGCGCGTCATGGTTGCCAGAAGGCTGTGAATGACCGCGATGATGTCACTGTTTTCTCCAACATGCAGCGACAGGAAACGAGCGTGAGAGGAAAGACAGTTTTGTTTTGTTGTTCTATCCAGTTAGCCTTTATTTTCCTGTTATGTAATGAGCTCTAACTGAACTAGCTCTGGAAAGACATGAGTGTAGGGGTGTAATGGTACATGCATTCGTCCTGAACCCTCACGGGACAGACGTTACGGTTCGGTGCATGCAGTCGTACGGAGAACCGTGTGTATGTGCCAAGATTGAGTTCTACCTGGAAACCCTAAGCTGTAAGCCTTCAGCAGTGGCGGTCTGCAGAGGAGTGATCTGGTCTAACCTTATGGAGGATTCACGCCAGCAGCAGTGTCCTAACTCCTGACCCCAAGAGGTGAGGAAGCCAGCAAGAGTTGAGAAAGGCAGCTATCAAGATAAAAAGAGAGGGGATTTATAAAAATAACACAAGTAGGGCTGCAACAAACGACTAATCTGATAGACGAATAGTCTATCGATTACTGAAGCGAATAATCGATTATTCGGAATATGAATCACTACATTACCAAATAACTCTTATGTAGCTATTAGCTTTTAAATATAGCTTGAGGTTGTTTTATGCATTTGGTAACTAACAGTGAAGACAGTATAGACGAATAACATTGAAGAATTCACTGTGCAAAGTAGCAACAATAAAATATAACAGAACTAAATCAGTTTTCCTTTAATCAAGTAAATAAAAAAAACTGTCTAAATTTAAATTTTAATCAGTGCAGTCTGCTTTGTGCATTCTGCTGTCTGTCTACACTCTGTTACACTAAGTCTGCAATCACAGGTCTTTAGTGAAACGGAGGGAAGTCAGCGTCTCTTTGTGCTCTAAAAGTCAGCGTCTTCTCTCGCTCTGCTCTAAGAGCAGATACTCCCCACTGCAGATGCGCTGTGATGGAGCAGATTGGAAAGCTTCTCTATGAACAGTTAAATTCGAAGGATTTTGTGTAAACACTTCATTTCAACGGTAACTCTTTGTCCGCTGCGTCCCAAACCACACACTTCTGTACTTCACATACTACACTAATGAGTGCACTTCTAATGGTATATACAGTATTGTTACACCCTATTTAGTGAGCTAGTATGCGGTTTGGGACGCGGCGTATCTTACCGAGATTAATCTTCTTCATTTAGTGAGCCGACGAGTTTTCGCTTCAGACGCTCCAACATGGAGGATGAGCTCCCATAGCGAGCTGAGATCGGCTTTACAAACAGCACAACTGACTTTTTTTTTAGCGTTTAGCATGAAAATCTCCCACACTTTTGAGGATTTTGTATATGATGCTGCCATCGCACTGTTGTTAACTCTCCAGTAAGCGTAGTGTCAGAACGTTCCTAGTGAGCGTGAGAGTGACGTGTAATGACGTCACCAACTAATCGACTGTTAAATTAGTTGCCAGATAATTTGTTCGTTGATTTTAGTTGACTGAGTCGAATAGTTGTTGCACCCGTAAACAAGCTGAAATTAAACTTATCTCTCACCACAGCCTGCAGTATTTCTGCATCTATAAAGAGATTCAGTAAATAGCCTTAAGAATTTTTTGTGTTTTCTGCTCCCGCTGCAGAGTCTGAAGTCCACACACATCAGTTAACGTGAGCGACTTTCCCTGTCGAGTGCAAATGATACACACTGCAGGCTGTACCAGCTGAAGTTCCTCAGGGGGACTATGTGACACTAGGTGGAGCAAACTTTAACTTGTGCTACTGTAGGTTTAAAATAAATGAAAGGAAACCCAGCCTTGTGCGTTTGGGTGTCTTCGTTCCTTTTTTCTGTTCTCCCGAAGTCACAGCGAACCGTGATGTCCAGACAGTGGTGTGAAGTCGTCACTTCTGTTTACAGTTACACCCCTAACACTGTGGACAGCTGTAACATTAGCTAGGGTAGCACTGATGCCAGCTAAGTTGGCAACAGCATGGTCAAAATTATAGCTATATAATATATATTATATTTATCTATTATGTATCGATTCCCCGGCCGGCTGACCAGGGGTCCTCTCTGTGTGGAGTTTGTATGTTCTCCCATGTCTGTGTGGGTTTCCTCCCACAGTCCAGAGACATGCAGCCAGGAGAATCAGAGGCTAAACCACCCCTAGGTGTGAATGTATATGTCTGTGTGTCTGCCCTGACGGCCTGTCCAGGGTGTTTACTGCCTTCCACCTAATGACTGCTGGGATAGGCTCCAGGAGGATAAGCGGCTTAGATAGAGTGTGTGTGTGTTTGTGTGTGTGTTTGTACAATTAGCTAACCTACCTATATTAGTAGGTTAGCTAATTGTAGTGGTAGCCTAGCGAAACAATAACAATTCCCCTCGGTTACTGTTACTGTCCGGCAAAGTGCTTTTTTAACGAGAAAGATGTTCTTTGCCAACCAGAATTAAGCACTATTGGAACTTTAAAGCCCAGTATAATCAGATTTCTGCTTTGCAACCAGCCAGTAAACTCACAGAAGAAGACGTGACGTAAACATAACGTAAAACTCAGCCTTTTTTTAAACATTGCGCCACCTTACCTGAAAATATGAACATACATCGTCTAGAAGATGAAGAATATTTAAATCCTTTAATTCGTGTTTGGTTTCAGCACCGCTCCAGCAGTGTTTTGCTGCGTCTCGCGACATCCACCGTCTGATCTCATACATGCGCAGACTGTGAAAACCGAAAGAAATCAGAGTAAGAGTTCACATGCACTGAGAAATCTGATTATTGAGCTAAAATCCAACCTCTTTATCGGATTTCTTAATCGGATTTCTAGATCGGAGTATAGTGTTTACATGACCATTTAAATAATTGGATAATACGTCATGTCTTATACTGTGAGTTTATTGGCTGGTTGCAAAGCAGAAATCTGATTACTGTCTGACTCATGTAGACTCAGAGTTTCCCCATTATCTGATTACTCAAGCGCATGTAATCGTGTTGATCGGATTACTGACAAAATCTGATTTTCTGCAGTTATCGGATTATTAAGTGCATGTGAACGCACTCATTGTGTCCAAACTGAGGGGGCGGGAAGATTCTGTGGGAAGAGTGTTTTGTTGTGTGTCTGCTGGTTGGTGTGAGTGTGGTTATATGCAGCTGAGGTGAAGAGGAGGAGTAGCTACACACGCACACACACACACACACACACACACACACAGCGAGTTACATAATCCAACACAACATGCTCACACACTCACACACTCACACACACACACACTCACACACTCACACACACACACACTCACACACTGCATCTAGTGTTATATAATCTGAGAGAGAACAGCTCTTACAGCACAGCCATTACAGACAGCAGCACTCAGCACTCAACACCTACAGCTCTACTATAACTCTCTCTATCTCTCTCTCTCTCTCTCTCTCTATCTCTGAACCATTTTCTCTCTTTTATCTCTCACTTTCTGTCTCTCTCTCTCTCTCTCTATATTATATATATATTTATATATATCAACTGTCTTCTCTCTATATCTCACTATTTTCTCTCTCTCTACCTCTCTATACTGCTCTCTTTCTAAACTACTTTCTTTTCTCTTTCTCTCTTTGTTTTCCTTCTCTTACTCTCTTTCTCTCTCTATATTTCTTCTTTCTCTCACCCTCTTTCTCTCTCTGTCTCTCTTCTTTGCTTTCTCTCACCCTCTTTCTCTCTCTACCTCTCTTCTTTCTCTCATCCTCTTTCTCTCTCCTTTTCTTTCTCTCACCCTCTTTATTTCTCTACCTCTCTTCTTTTCTTTCTCACACCCTCTTTCTCTCTCTATCTCTCTTCTTTTCTTTCTCTCACCCTCTTTCTCTCTCTACCTCTCTTTCTATCTCTCACCCTCTTTCTCTCTCTACCTCTCTTCTTTCTCTAGCTCTTTCTTTATTCTGTCTCACTGTCTCTGTCGGTCTCCATTTATTTCTCCCTCTGTCTTTCTTTCTTCCACCCTCTCCTTTTCTCTCTTCCCTCTCTTTCTTTCTCTTCTCTCTCCCTTTCTCTCTGTCTCACACCTTTTTTCACTTTCTCTGTCTCTCTTACCTCTTTATCTCTGTCTTTCTTTCTTTGTCTCTTTTATTTCTTTGTCTCTCGCTCTTTTCATTTCTCTCTTCTTCCTTTCTCATTCACATTTATTTAACTTTTTTTTATTCTGTCTTAGCTTCTTTTTGTCCTCTCTTCACTTTTACTCTTTAATCTTCCTCTCTCTTTCTCTTACCTTTTTCTCTCTTCCACCCTCTCTTTTTCCCTCCTTTCTCTCTCTCTTCCTCTCTCACTCACTATCACACTCCCACTCTCTCTTTTTTCTTTCTCTCTCTCTCGTATACACTGGTTTCTGTAATGTGAAACAGGATGAAAACTGAAGGGTGAGAGTGAGAGAGCGAGGGAGGAGAGAACGCCCTCAGCTGTTTAACAGGAACTGACCGATGCTCTCTGGACTGAGCAGGAATTTCATAAACACACAGAAATCCAATCTGCTTCAGTGTCTGTCGTCTCACAGCCATAACAGGAAAATCTCTACATCCATTTACAGTCTCGCTGAGAAGGTCGAGTATCGTCACGTTTATTCATAGAATATTTGTTCTCTTCCATTCAAGAGGCAAGAACTAATTCATAACAGTTATTTACATATTACGGAAAAAAGTCACCCAGCAAACCCGGCAGACGGACAGACACTGGACAAACTGGACAACTTCAGGTGTGACTAAAATATATCCGGAACAGATGGAAAAAGTTTCTTTCATAAAATCTTTCATTTAAATCCAGGTGACTTTGTAAAACACGTTTACATAATATATACTGTAGTCCAGTAGTCAAATATTCACAAGGAGTATTGTTATCCGATTTACCTTCTTCTTTTTTTGTTGCATTTTTGTCCGCAGTTTTCAAGATATCGACACTGTTCCAACCTCGGATGGTGGTCTGATGAGGAATGGTGTGCTTGTGTACAACTTTTTGATTGGATGTATGGTTTTCATATAGTTATTGGAAAATTACTGATTTTTTTCCCATAGTAAATGAATTTTGTGGACCCAGCTTACATCACGCTGATACAAGTCCAATAGCAACACTCTATGAACCATGTGGGACACCATAACAGCCGCCTAACAACACCCTAGCAAGCACATGATACCATGGCAACAACTTACCAGCACCTCAGCAACCACCTAGCAACACCCTAGCAACCACTTAGAAACCATCTGGGATTCCATAGCTTCCACCTTGCAACACCCTAGTAACCACCTGGGGTACTATAGCAACCAGATAGCAACAGCAGAGCAACCATCTGGGATATCATAACAGCCACCATGCAACACTGTAGCAACCACCTTGGATAACACAGAAACAGCAATACAATAGCAACTGCCTAGCAACACCCGAGAAACCATTTGGGATACCATAGCAACCACATAGCCACCAACTGGGATACTGTAGTAACCACCTAACAACACCCTAGCAATCATGATGATACCATAATAACCACCTAGCAACACCTTAGAAACCATTTGGCATACCATAGCAACCATAAAGCCACCAATAGGGATGCTATAGCATCCACTAAGGATACCATAGCAAACACCTAGCCACACTGTAGCAACCACCTAGCAACACCATCACAACCACTTGGAATACAATGGCAACCACTTAACAACACCCTAGCAACTACCTAAAATACCATAGTAACCGCATGACAACATCCTAACAACCATCTGGAAATTGCTCAAGCTGTGTAATCACCACAGTTTTTTCAAGAAGTGCACATTTCTACTTATTTATGACTTTAGATCATGTTTTCCAAGTTCAGCTGTTTCTACTGTGAGATTTTAAATTGTTTTTGTACTTTTAAATTTATAGTGCTCCAAGCAAATGTGCTGCTCATTGTGAACCAAAACAATAGAACTTTTGTTTTATTGTTTATAAATAATGAACTCTGTAAAGTAACCCTACTAATGTGGTTATTAACACCAACCATCCAAGGATTGGCAGATCATCAGGTTGTAACGACCCCACTGCTTTGGCAGAAACAGGTGTTTTTCTGTAATCTCATCCCATTTCAGGAAGATATGTTGAGCTGTAGTCATTGTAGGTTATGTAATAATCTCATAACCACCTTATCAGTTTCTAATTCTTATCTCTTATTTTGACAGTGTAGGGAAAAGATCTTCAAATAGCTATGGTTTTCCGCATGGTGTACCTCAGGGGTCAACGCTTGGTCCGTTTTTATTGTCTTTGCTTATGTTGCTGCTGGGACAAAATTTCTAGAGCATCAGTCAGTTCCTACAGCTGTTCACCGCTGTCAATGCATGTCATTAGTTAATACACCTGTCCAACCTATCGGAAAATAAACTGGAAAACTGAATTTCTTCAAGTGTGTTTTTTAAGAACTGCATGAATTCTTTCGTCTAATGAACACAACTCGTCTAAACCCAGTACTGGTCTTAAAAGCTCTCCGTTGTGTACCATCCTTGTGATAGACTATGTGAATTCTGCTTTTAGAAGATTCTGTCTGTCAAATTTTGTTACCAATAATGAAGTAAAGGAGTTAGAAATACTGATGACATCCATCAATATAAGACAAATCCTTTTAGTTAAACAGTGTTTTTGGACTGGTGTGATTGTAAGTTCTCAAATTTCTCAAACTCAGAAAGCAGGAAATCACAGGGCTGGTTTCCCAGAGAGGGTTTAGCTCTAATCCTGGACTAGACAGGATTTAGAATGGAGATTTTTCCATTGAAAGGAAAGTACAGTCAGTGACTAGGCTTAGTCCTCATCCAGGAAACTGATGCTGTGTTTGAAATAATGTACATTTTGTAGCATTAAGTGCAGAGCTTCTGAAAATTCTCGGTTTTGCTGGTTTCTATTACTGAGCTCTTATTTTTCTACTTTTTTAAATAGCTTTTGTTTTTGTAAATGTTTTTGCATAATAATTTATCTTCATGGGTTTGGATGCATTTTACACAATACATTAATACACTAATGTTTACTTACTAAACACCTTAAAACACCTAATGTTTATATACTGAACACCTTAAAACACCTAATGTTTACTTAATAAACACCTTAAAACACCTAATGTTTATATACTGAACACCTTAAAACACCTAATGTTTACTTAATAAACACCTTAAAACACCTAATGTTTATATACTGAACACCTTAAAACACATAATGTTTACTTAATAAACACCTTAAAACACCTAATGTTTATTTACTGAACACCTTAAAACACCTAATGTTTATATACTGAACACCTTAAAACACCTAATGTTTACTTAATAAACACCTTAAAACACCTAATGTTTATATACTGAACACCTTAAAACACCTAATGTTTATATACTGAACACCTTAAAACACCTAATGTTTATATACTGAACACCTTAAAACACCTAATGTTTACTTAATAAACACCTTAAAACACCTAATGTTTATATACTGAACACCTTAAAACACCTAATGTTTACTTAATAAACACCTTAAAACACCTAATGTTTATATACTGAACACCTTAAAACACCTAATGTTTACTTAATAAACACCTTAAAACCACCTAATGTTTATTTACTGAACACCTTAAAAACACCTAATGTTTATTTACTGAACACCTTAAAACACCTAATGTTTATTTACTGAACACCTTAAAACCACCTAATGTTTATTTACTGAACACCTTAAAACACCTAATGTTTACTTAATAAACACCTTAAAAACACCTAATGTTTATTTACTGAACACCTTAAAACACCTAATGTTTATTTACTGAACACCTTAAAAACACCTAATGTTTATATACTGAACACCTTAAAAC